CATGGTGGTCGGGCCACTTTCGCCTGAGACATCCTCGCAACTCTGGATTCCTACAATCCCTGAACCCAGGTGGCCTGGCCACTTCCGCCTGAAACATCCTCGCAATTCTGACCTCGGAGATGCCCGTGGTCTGGCCACTTTTGCCCGAGACATCCTCGCAACTCTGGGTTCCGAGATTCCCGAGCTGAGGTGGTCTGGCCACTTTCGCCTGAGACATCCTCGCACCTCTGACATCGGAGATGCCATGCCCATATGGTGGTCCGTCCACTTTCGCCTAAGACATCCTCGCACATTTGTGATCCGAGATGTCCTGAGCCAAAGGCGCACCTCTGACATCCGAGATGCCCTGAGCCACAGCCATCTGGATGTAAACATTGTGCAACATACAGCCACATGAAAATATAACATGATAAACACCATGCGCACATATAAGTGTTCTACAGGCGCATGTGATTGTATTTGCGCACGCGCACGCACGTACAACACACATAGTCGGCACGGCTCCGGGAGGACACTCTGGGAGGAAGGGTATGGGGAGGAGAGTCGGGGTGAAGAGGCAGGGAGGGGAATCGGGGAGGAGACTCGGGGAAGAGAGTCGGGGGGAGGTCTCGGGGACGAGACTCGGGGACGAGACTCGGGAAGGAGACTCGGGGACGAGACTCGGGGACGAGACTCGGGGAGGAGACTCGGGGACGAGACTCGGGGACGAGACTTGGGGACGAGACTCGGGGTCGAGATGCGGGGAGGGGACTCGGGGAGGGGACTCGGGGAGGAGACTCGGGGAGAGGTCTCGGGGAGGAGTCTCGGGGAGGGGACTCGGGGAGGAGACTCGGGGAGGAGACACGGGAACAAGACTCGGAGAGGAGTCTCGGGGACGAGACTCGGGGACGAGAATCGAGGAGGAAACACGGGACGGAGACTCGGGAACGAGACTCGGGGACGAAACTCGGGGAGGAGACTCGGGGACGAGACTCGGGGACGAATCTCGGGGACGAGACTCGGGGAGGGGACTCGGGAAGGAGACTCGGGGACGAGACTCGGGGAGGAGACTCGGGGAACTCGGGGAGGAGACTCGGGGACGAGACTCGGGGACGAGACTCGGGGAGGGCGCTCGGGGACGAGACTCGGGGAGGAGACTCGGGGAGGAGACTCGGGGACGAGACTCGAGGACGAGACTCGGGGACGAGTCTCGGGGACGAGACTCGGGGACGAGACTGTCCTCTCTGGCTCTCCGACGGGCGCCCGAAACACATGGATCGCGATCCAAGTGTTCCTGGGATCGTGAATTCAGGGTCTTCCGGGCCGGGGGGAACGCTGGGGGAATGCGTCGGTTCCCTCCTCCTCCTCCTCCTCCTCCACCTCCTCCTCCTTCTCTTCCTCCTCCTCATCGGACTCCTCCTCGATCCTCCTCCTCCTCCTCCTCCTGCTCTTCCTCCTCCTCATCGGGATCCTCCTCGAGCCTCCTCCCCCTCCCCCCGAACGGGGCGCACCAGGCGGCGCTCGGGGAGGGCGGAGTGGTGCCTCCTGCGCCTCCTCCTGCTCGCGTGGCCTCCTCTTGCCCCTGTCTCGCGCGGCCACCTCGTTCTGGCTCTGAAAACCCCGATTGGGGAGTTTGGCCTGCTCTGGGCAAAGCAGGTCCTGGCAGATTCCCCCCCCGAGCGACAGCCCCTCGCCGAATGGCCTGGCTGCGCGTGCGCCGGGGCGGCGGTCGGCGGCTGGGCAAGTGCTCTCTGCTCGGCCCAGTTCCCCTTGGGCACGCCCTCGCGAATGCGCGGGCAGTTAATTCGGGACGGATAACTGCATAGAACTGTACTTTCGGAGCTCCGCGCGGATTTCCTGGGTCGGCGCTGGGAACACCCTGGCGGCGCCAGGGAGGGGGGTCCAGCGCCGATCCAAAAAAATACGCGCGGACCTCCGAAAGCCTACGGCAAGTTCGTGCCGTGTCGACCCCAGCGTTGGTTCCGAACACCGCCGGGATCGTTCAACCTTGAACGCTCGGCCATTTCCGAACCGTCCGATAGTTCAACATGGGCCGAGTCTGTGCCGACCGCCGCGTTCAACGTTGGAACGCCGGCGGCGGGGTCGCCGCTGGTCGACACGACGCGAACCTACCGCATGTTTATGCAGTCTACTCTGGAACAGCTGGATATGCCAGGATGATGATGCTGCTGATGATGATGCTGATGCTGATGATGATGCTGATGCTGACGATGGTGATGAGGCAGGCAGCCTTATCCTCCTCCACCCCAACCCGACAGGACAGCCATAGGATCCCCTTTGCGCTGGCCTCGCGCCAGGCTCGCGCGCTCCCATCTGCCAGGACGGTTTGGGGAGGATGAGGAGTAGAAGTGGAGAAAGGGGGTCGAACCTAGCCTTTGCCATCCTGTGTGGTGAAGCTGAAGAGAAGGCAGCCATGACGACGCGAAGTAGTAATAAAAACACTCGGCGGACGAGTCGATCAGAACAACTTGGCGCGACAACGGTCCTTCCCGACAGGAGAGCGCATGTGCATTTCGCATGCTGGCATCGGCCAAGCACTTCTGGCACAGGCAGCACCTACCAACGCATGCACCTGCCGCGTGGGCAATACATGCAGCATGGGACGTAACGACTCGCGTTGCGCTTGCTGTCTGGTGGGCACGTGATGCAAGCGGTGGGTGGAACGCGCAAAGGACGCGCGGTTGAGGCTACTCAATGGCACCCCATCGTGTGGGGCCATGTCGGGCGGAACCCTTTCATCCGACCGCCAAAGAGCATCAAAGAGCGGTAGCACAGGCGCAGCGCCGCGTACAACGGCTTGGAGGCCCAACAGGGATCCTCCAGTGCCAGAGATGTTTCAGAAATAGCTACGCCTACACATGTGCATAGACATGGTCTGGTGCAACCATTTTGAGCGGCACTAGCGCAACAAGGCACGACGAATCCCGCAACCATGCTGGCACCAAAGAGTTTTTCTCACTGCTCGAAAAAACTGTCCTGGTGCGGGCGGTTCCGCCCCTCGTTGCCACCGGGGTCTGGCCGTTGCTGGGGGGCGGTGCGCCAATTTCTGGCTGTCGAAGCCGTGAGCTTCTGGCCGTTGTCGCTGTAAAGTCCCCCACGCTCCCACAAAGGAAGGGTTCTACGCTTAGTACACCACACATAAGGACCATCCACGTGCGACTCCGCACAAGCAAGGTTCAGTAGAGGTATGCACACGTAGCCACATGTTTCGCTCGGATTGGGCTTTACGGACATACGCATCCACTCTTGATTTCGCACGCACACACACAAACACACACACACGCAGACGGGCAACCCCACACACATGGCTTGACACACACAGGATTCCACACACGCGCCCACGCAAACACACGCGCACACGCGCGCACATAAACACACAGTTCCACACACACACACACACATGGCACTTGCAAGTTCCACACGCACATGGCACTTGCAAGGGCAGACTTCCATGTGCACAGGTTCCCCTCACACAAAGGCTCCACTCACGCACACACGTACACATACTACCCCACCCACACACAAGGCTGTCCACTTGCACACACTGGGCTCCACACTCTCAAGGTTCCACCCACATGGGGATCTGTACATGTGAATCCACAGGCATGGGGCTCGGCGCAAACGGGGCTCCACGCATACTGTGCTCCACACAGATAGTGCCCCGCATACATGGGGTTTCTCACACATGGCTTCCCCCCCACACACAGAGGATGCCACACACAGAAGGTGTCACACAAAGAGGGTTCCACACACAAAGGATTACACACAGGGTTCCGCACACCTGGTGTTCAACGCACACAGAGGGGTCCGTACGCATGGCGATCCACACGCAGGGCTCCAGGCGTAGGGTTGTACACGTCATCTTTCGCACAGTGGGCTTCACACCAAGAAGGTTCCACACGTAGGGTTTTATGCATAGGCCTCCACACATACGGTTCGACACACACGGCTTCACACAAAGGGGGTCCGCACACGCAGGACTTCGCGCTCATGGGATTCCACACGCAGGGGTCCACGCATAGCGTCCAACGTGTAAGGCCCAGCAGAATTGAGTCCCGCACGCCCAGGTGGCATGCCATAAAGAGGGTTCCACTCATAGTTCTCCACACGCTCATCGAGTCCAAGCCACACAGAGGGCTTCCACGCACATAGTGCTCAACGTACACAGTGTTCGACACATTGAGGGTTCCACACACGCACACGCACGGTCCCATACGCATAGGATTCTACACATAGGCTTTCTCAATCACAGGGTTCCACACGCAGACGGTCCCTCGCATGAGAGTTCACACACCGAAGGCCCCTTTGGCTTCACACAGAGAGGATTCCCCACACGTAGCGTTCTAAGCACACAGGGAATCACACAATGGTCCACCCACTGGGTTTCCGCACGCTGGGGCCGTCCACATAAATGGCATCACACATGCGAGTCGCTTTTGTTTGCAAGGATTTCTGTGGAACTCACGCCATCCTGACCCCTGGCGCGCGAAGATGTGAAGCCACCAATTGCGCTTCCTGCATACCTGACTCCAATGGAATCGAACAGAATCCGGGGCCAAATTCCAAAACCAGCGCCCTCGCTCTCGAAATCCTCACAACATCGGCTTTGGGGGAGGGGCCGAGAATGCTTATGGCGCTGTTTCTGGCGAACCTAATGGAATCTGACAGAGTCGGGGGCAGAATTCCAAACTGGCGCCCTCGCTCGGGACATCCTCGAAAAAACAGCTCTGGGGGAGGAGCCAGAAACGTTTCCTGCACTGTTCGCGGTTAATCAGTCTTACGGAATCCATGGCGAAATCCCAAAGCAGCGCCCTCGCTCGGGACATCCTCGCATAATCGCCCCCAAGATGGGTCGACAGCGTCGTGGAAAGAGCGCACCCTATGTTCTACATGCAGAACCTCCCGATAAAACGCAGAGCGGCTGGCTGGTAACTAACACCTGCGGAAGCTAGGGATGTTAGATTGGAGGCCAGGCCGGAGGAAGCGCAGGCAGGAGCCATTCATTGAATGCGGCAACTGACGTGCAATGTGACACGCGTGAAGCATTGCGCCTTGCGGACTCCTGCAGGGGTGCTCGCCTGCCTGAGGCAGTGCCCGCCCACGGGGTGGCCGTGGCAGTCCACCAAATCCGATGGGTCCTCCGGCACGAACCCGGCGTCTGCGGCGGGGCCCTGCGGCGGGTGAGGCGGGGCCCACGAGCCCGAGATGGAGCTGTCGGAGGGCGAGATCTGTGAAACGCCGGGTGTGGCTGTACTGCCTGTCAGTGTAGGCGATGTGGGTGCGAATTCCGTGCTCACCGTCGTCGGGCATGTCGAAGTCATGGTCGAAGTCATTGTCGACGTCGAGCCTAAAATTCGCCGGCCCAATGGGCCACAGGCGTGGAAGAAGAGAAACTCAGGTCGGAATGTTTAGGTATCGGGTCCGCGCGCGCGAGGGCGACCCTGGGGTTACGCTGACCTAATTAGCTAGGGCCGGGGAGCGGAGAGCAGGCGAAAGCCTTCGAAACCACCCCAAGAGCCACCAAGAGCACGCCAAGAGAGCGGGCCAATGGGTGTCAGGCCTCAAGCTGGTCCGAATGTGGCACAAAGATGACCTTAAGATGGCCTCAATATGGCCTGAGGGAGGCCTAGGACGGTCCAAGGCAGCCTAAAGGACTTCAACACGGCGTGCCCAAGAAGGCCCCAAGACACCCCAGGAGGGCCCCGATAATCTACAAGAGAGTCCAAACAAGGCCCCAAGAGAGCCCCAAGAGAGCCGCCCGAGAACGGGCCCGAGAGCGCGGTCAATCGGTGCCACGCCTTACGATGGCCACATGATGACCTCAAGACGCCCCAAGATGGTGCCAACGCGGCCCAAGATGGTCCGAGACGGCCCAGTGGACTGCAACTGTAGCCTTAGATTGCCGAATCTGCCCACTCGGAGGCCCCCGAGACGGCAACCATTGTTAAACGCGTGTTCGTTTATTGCGTTAGGACATGTTGCTTCTGCTGGAGTCAGTGGACTTCTCTCGTCCCGCGGTGTGCCCAAGAGGGCTCCGAACGATCACTACGACGGCCCCCAGACTCTGCAAGAGGGCCCCAACAGGGCCCCAAGAGAGCTCGAAGAGGGTCCGAGAATGGCCTGAGCGCGAGGGCCAATTGGCACCTGGCATTACGATGGCCGCATGATGGCCCCAAGACGCCAAAGACGGCACTAAAGTGGCCCAAGATGGTCCGATACAATCCCAGGCGGCAGAATATGCCCCACTGGGAGGCCGTCGAGACGGCCAGAAGCATGCGGAAGCCACATGTCTTCTGTGGCCAAGAGGGCTCTGAGAGAGTCCCATGAGGCCCCGAATATCCCTCAAGGATGCTCCAGGAAGTCTCCAGAAGAGTCCAAGAGCGGCCCGAGAGAGGGGATCAACGACTGGCAAGCCCCAGGATGGCCTAAAGCCGGCCCCAAAAGGCCTCAAGATGGCTCTAAGGCAGCCCGAAATGGTCAAAGACGGCCCCTGGGGCGCCGCCAACGCTTCCCAGAACCCCCCCCGAGTCCTCCAAGATGTTCTGGCAGCCCACTCAGGCAGGGAGGTAACATTTGTCTTGTCGTGGTTTCGGGCTTCGATGGTGAGACTTGGGTGGGGGGATGTTCCGTTGGGTGCTGCACTCAATATCCCAAACGACTGCTTCTCCCCACACGAGCTTCACGCGACAAACTGAGGACACTACCACCACACAAAAAGCTCCCAATACCCACGAGCACGCAAGCACATGGCAAACACGAGATAATATGAGACAGCGGAACGCGGAAAGCGGTTGACTCAAGGTAAAGGCCGATGTTGTGCCGATGTTGTGTTGCTGATTTGTATGACCGTGTCAGCGCTGACTAACTGTGGAGATTGAAGTGCTGCTCGTCGCAGTGGTGGTGATGAACGTGCTGCTCGTAGCACTCGTGGTGGTCGTCGATGTATCATAACACCCCTTTCCCCTCGCCGAACAACACCGCGCCCTCTGCCCAACCGTCCAGTCCTTCCCAGGTGCCACTTCGCCATCGCAGAAGCATGGCATCACCGATTCTGCTGTGGCGCCGCCGGTCGTGGTGCTCTCCGCTGCTGGCAGCGCCTGCGCCTCGGCGCCAGGACCGGCCCCGGCGCCGCCCGCGCAGAAGCCCGCCCCCGCAGCGCAGCCAGGGCACACGCCGCGCTGCGAGCGCACGAGGGCACGCGCCTCTGCGCACCCGCAAGGCTGGCCCACGGTCGGGTTGGGCATGCCCTCCTACGGGCGGACTTTGGAGGGAGAGTGAAACAATTCAAGTCGTCTTGAATATTCCTTTGAATATTCAAGACGGTTTTTGAATATTCCAACGAATGTTCAAGAATCCTTTGAATCCATGCCCTCCTACGGGCGGGCTTTGGGAGGAGAGTGAAACATCAAAATCGTCTCCTGAATAACTCTGATCTTCCTCCAGTGGAGGAATATCAAAAATGACCAGGGCAAATTGAGGACTGAAGTGAATACGCCTCCAATATTCAACGTCTTACGACGGTGAATTACAATTAGAATCGTCTCCATTGAAGAGGACTACCTCTCACTCTTTTCGGATATTCCTCCTGTAGAGGGACACGCCCGACTTGAGACTGACCCGCGGCCGGGTGCTCGCTGGCCCAGCGACTGCGCTCGCCGCAGGTGGCCGTGACGCCCTCGAAGGTGCAGTGCGCACCAACACGCGCCAATGGGCGCGGCAGCCGCTGCGGTGACTCTCCGCACGCGCCGGCGGCGCTTGCCACCGCACCGACGCAGAGGCTCGTGGCCTTCAGTCGGGCATGTCCCTTTACAGGAATAAGATTCAGAACTGGTAAAAGGAGTATTCAGGGGACGATTGTTCGATGATCTTTTGGCTATTTGGGAATATGTTTTGAGTAGTTCTTCTGTTTCGCCCGAAATCCACCTGTAGGAGGACATGCCCGACCTAATCGTGGCCGAGCCTTGCACCAGCACGGGGTCTGGTACCGAGGGGGGCGCGGAGGGGCTGCCGCCCATGGGCGCCCCTGGCCACCGCCGCTGGGCTGCGCGGGCATCTCGGACCAGCGGGCCGCGGAAGTTACGCGCGTCTGAGCGTGCGGTGAAGCTGTGGCCTGCGCATCGGGTGAGGGACAGAGCGCTCAGGGATTTGGGAGCCCGCCACCGGCGCCTGGGCAGCAGCTGGGCAGGCATGGGCCCCCTCCGCCGCTCTCACGAGACGAATGCCGCCAGGAGGCTTAGCTCTCGTGCGCCCCTTCTCCGATCCGCAGCCCCACCTCGCGGAGCTGCGTGCGCAGCTCCCCACCGATCGCTTGCAGGCGCGCGCGCGCGCGTGCGGGGCACCGCAGCACGCCTGAAGAGAGAGAGAGAGAGAGGCCCTCAAAGCGGCTGCTGCAGAAGTTTTCCGCGGCGGCCACGGGACCAGCGCGAAGTCACCCCCAGCGGGGCCACGGCGTAGCGCGAGAGAGCAGGGCCAGCCGCCACCTCCCCCTCGCCCTACCCCAGTCCGCCTCGCCGCGGACCGCTGTCGCTTCGGCCTCTCCTGACAAGGGCTGCCAGCGTCACTAGGACCCTCATAAGATCTTGGGCACGCAGGCCGATTCGAGAAATCTGCGTTATCTGTTGCTTTGTTTTGTCTCTCTCGCTCTCTCTCTCTCTCTATCTCTCTTTCTCACCCTTACTCCCTCTCTCTGCTATGCTTGTTGTTGTTTCTCTCTATCTCTCTCTCTATATATATGCATGCATGCACGTATGTTTGTTTGTTTGGTGGTATGCATGTTTGTAGGTATGTATGTAAAGTTGTATGCCTGAATGTGTATACATGCAGTAATGCGTGTATGTGTGTATGTATACACGTATGTATATATGTGTGCATCAATGTATGTATATATATGCATATGTAGGTATGTGATTGTGTATGCCTATACGTACGTGTATGTATGCATGTATGTATGCATGCATGTGTGTATGTATGTATGCATGCAGCTATGCATGCATGGTGTGTATGTATGCATGTCTGTCTGCCTGTCTGCCTGTCTATCTGTCTCTGTATGTATGTATGCATGTACGTACGTACGTATGTATGTATATACACATGTATGTGTATGTGTGCATGTGTGCATGCATGTATGTATGTTTGTATGTCTGCATGTATATATGTATGTATGTATGCATGTGTGTATGTGTGTATGTATGTATGTATGTGTGTATGTGTGTATGTATGTATGTATGTATGTATGCATGCATGCATGCATGTATGTATGTATGTATGTATGTATGTATGCATGTATGTATATATGTATGTATGCATGTATGTATGCATGTATGTATGTATGTATGCATGCATGTATGTATGTATGTATGTGTGTATGTATTTTTCTCCAACGCAATCTTCACGGGGGAGAAGGAGCGACCGCAACAACTCTCGAGTAACCCGTGCACTCCGTGGCGAATCGCGGCAGAGAGAGACAGAGACGAGGCGGGAAGAGTGGGCAGTGTGGTTGCCAAAAGCGGCTGCCACGCACATGAGTAGCTTAAACACTGGCCCATGCTAGAAGTAAGGAAGCACCGGCCATATAAGCTGATAGATCTGAGCCTAAGCTCCATGAACGACCACGTAAACTTAAATGCCCAACCAACACTTTAGGAGAAAACTAAAGCCGAGGCGACCCTACCGCGAAGGCAAAGAGAACCAGCCCTCGAGAATCGTGCAGATAAAGCGGCGCGAAAAAGTAAAGCATCGAGCGGCCGCCGAGCGACCACCAGCAGAGGCCAATAGGAGAGAAGGAGGGAGGAGGAGGCACAGGAGGAGGAAGATAGGAGGAGGAGGAGGAGGAGGAGGAGGAGGAGGAGGAGGAGGAGGAGGGGGCAAACCTCGATAAACATGCACCGCAACAGCGCTAGGACAATCGACTACAGAAAACAACGACCGCGAGAGGCGGGAATCGGCGATGACGCCCCGCAGGAACGCGGGAGCAGAAGGGGCAAGACAAGCTAGAACAAAGACACGGCGAGTCGGAGATCCAAACTCCACTACAATACGAGCGACGACGCTACCAGGGCCCAGACTTTTTTTCTTTCGGGGAGCGCCTAGAGGGCAGAGCGGAATGGCACATCACGGATGAGATCAGGGCCGTCAGCGCGGCCTCGCTCGGGCGCTCCACGTACTCCGCCCCGACGTGGTGCGACACGCCGGCGTCCACCCCGTCACGTGCGACACGCCGGCGTCCACCCAGCTGGGGGTCCCATTCGGGGGGGAGCGAGGACGAGCCAAGCAGAGGAGGCGGAGAGCTGGCCAACCCCTGCAAGGCTAGCCGGCGCTCCGCCTCCGGGAGGCGAGAGAGGGAGGAAAGAGACGAGGGGGAAGGGCAACTCCAAACGGCTGCGGGGCGCAGCATGTCCCGCAGTCCGTCGGCCACGTAACCGGGACGGAGGGGACACGATAGCTTGCACCGCATGGCGTCGAATTGTGTGGCGGCCTGTCGCTGCATACTCAGGCGCTCCGCCGCAAGCGGAACGGCGGCGCTGGAGCTTGAGCTCCATCAGCGTCAGTGACACGTGGCCTCTTCACAGCCGTCTGAATAAGATGCTGAAGCTTCGGGTGGCCCAAGGCGGCAGCCCGACCATAGCCGCGAAATGCGTCTGGCGCCTCCGTGGACGAGAGCCCATGGCGCCAGGCGTCGTGCGTCCTGAAGGGCGCGTAAACGCCAACTGCGCGGAGTGCAATTGAAACCGCAGTGTGTTGCTCACCCCTGCACTGTGCAGGAATGGAGCCCACGTGCGGAGAAATACTCAAAAAATCTGCCAGACAGGCTTCCGGCGGGGGACGGCTAAGCCCTAAGTGGCGACGACAGAGAGAATGAAACGAATAGCAATACGCGTAGTGATTGAGGGAGTCCTCGCCTCGTCGGCAGCCAAACAAGCAGCCCCCTGATCCCTGGAAGCGCCGTGCTGTACACCAGCCGTTCCACGCAGAGCGAAGCTGGGAAGCCTGCACCCGCGGGGGGGAGGAGAGGAGCGGAGAGAGAAAGTGAGCGCGTCCAGGCGGCGGGGCGGTGTCCTGGAAGCACGCTGATTTGCCATCGGTCGAGCCTGCGCCTCACATGTCTCGCCGAGGAGTGCCTGGCAGCGGCGCGGAAGACCCGCGTAGCTCGGGCCTGAAAGCCCTCCTTCTCGTCCGCGGCGGGGCCGCCGGCCGTCAGGGACGGGCCGCTGGGGCGCGCCGCCTGCTCCGCGGCACGTATGTATGCAAGCATGCATTTATGTATGTATGTATGCATGTATGTGTGTGTATGTGTATGTGTGTATGTGTGTATGTGTGTATGTGTGTATGTGTGTATGTGTGTATGTGTGTATGTGTGTATGTGTGTAGGTGTGTGTATGTGTGTATGCATGTGTGTATGTATGTATGCATGTATGTATGTATGTCTGTCTGTCTGTATGTATGCATATATGTATGTATGTATGTATGTATGTATGTATGTATGTATGTATGTATGTATGTATGCATGCATGCATGCATGCATGTATATATGTGTATGCATATATGTATGTATGCATGCATGTATGTGTGTTTGTATGTATGCATGGGTGCACGCATGCATGTATGCACGTATGTACGTATGTATGTAACATATGTTTGTATGCATGTGTATACATGCATGTGTGTACGTATGTACGTACGTATGTATGTACGTATATACATATGCACGTGTGTACGTATGTACGTCTGTATGTATGTATGCACACACATACACATATATATATATATATATATATATATGTATGCAATCCTTTACCGCATTGTCGACACAATGCTTGCCTTTTGGGGTTCTTCTGGTGGGTGAGTGGATTACCGTTCCGCCGAGACTTCGCCTGGGAACTGCCCGTAGGAGCCTCGTGGGTGCCCCGTTCGCTAGCTGGGCCCTCCGAAGTTTCGCCTGCTGGCCGCTCGTGGGCGCCTCGTGGGCGTCCCGTGCGCTGGCGTGGTCCAACGAAGCTTCGCCCGGTGGTCTCCTCGGCTGCTCGCTACTCCGAGCGCCCTTGCGCGGCCTCCTCCTCGTCTTCCTCCTCCTCTTCCTCCTCCTGCTCCTGCACCTCCTCTTCCTCCTCCTCCTCCTCCTCCTCCTCTTCCTCCTCCTCCTCCTCGTTTTCCTCCTCCTCGTCTTCCTCCTCCTCCTCTTCCTCCTGCTCTTCCTCCTCCTCTTCGTCTTCCTCCTCCGCTTCTTCCTTCTTCTCCTCCTCCGAGC